TTTTGTTGCAGGTGGCTAGGTTGAAGCAACAGCTGATGGCAGCAGAAGCAGAACTAAATCGATGGAGAAAAGGTGAAAAGGTACCTGAGGCAGAGTGGGTTAGCCTGCTTGAAGGTGCTGCTATAAATCTGCAACTTCCAACCGGAACAGAATGTAAATTATTAGTTGGTGTTGCTAATATAATTTCAGCTTTCACATTGAAAAATTAAGTCAACTGAATAGTTGGTAACTTTTTTAAATCTGTGGCCTGTCACCACCTGGAATAAAAAAAAAATTTTAAATCTGTAGCCTGTGTCACCACCTGGAATACGACAATCTTCTTTCAGACCTTATCAAATTGTTTAGACTTCTCACGTTTCCAAAATGATGGAACTGAATTTCAGCACTATCGCCGTCTGTTAGTGATTCAGTACTCGGTTCACTTGACAGGTCGATTTCAGTTGCTCCACTACCATTACTGACATCAGCAATTGGTGCAATTACTGATGCCGACCGAAAGAAGTATGAAGAAGAACGATCTGCTCTCTATCAACAAGTGAGAATTTTATTTTTTTTGTAGATTGAAACTTAGATGACTAAAGTTCTTTATGTAGTTCGTATAATCCTTTAACTAGTTTTGTTTCTTATAAACAGCATTGTCTGTGAAAGATCGGGCTGCGCACATGCATCTTATTTTAGTGCAATCATTGATTTTAAAAATTCATTCTCTCAATTTTTGATCATATTCTATGGAACATATTAGCTGTGTGTACATTCCATTTGCAGCTGGATGAAAAAGATGATGAAATTACGCTGCACTCCCAACTGGCTGAGCGTCTCAAGCAACAAATGAATGAGCAGGTTAGTTTTAGGGGATAATGGTACAATGGAATTTATGCGAAATTTCTTCAGTGTAAATCGGATATGTGCATTTCGAACTCTAGTCGTCATTTTTCGTTTTCAGGAAGAATTGATCAGACAGATCAAGCTCGATTATGAGAATGCTCAGGCGGAAGTGAGCCGTATCCAAAATGAAAATGAAGCTTCAAAAGAAGAATCGAAAGAAGTATTGACTGCATTGGAAGAACTTGCGATGAATTACGATATAAAAACACAAGAAGCGGAGCAGAAGGCTCGAGAAAATGAGCAACTTAATGTAAGTGTTCGTGCAGGCAATAAAAATTCTTTAATCTTTTGTGTTGTTAATGATTGACACTGTAACGAGATTTCAGGATGAGCTATCAAAGAAAAATGTAAAAGTCGTGGAATTGACTACAGAATTGGAAACCTTGCGTGAAAGTTGTGCAGCACAGAAAAAGCGTATCACTGATGCAATGCAAACAATGCTAAGAGATTTGTCAGAAGTTGGTAGCAGTTATGCCAATGCAGCTAAGGTTTGAAAATTACATTCATTGAATATTGAGCTTAATTTACAAAACTCTTTTATTAATTTTATAGCTTTACGTTTCATTTCAGTTTAATGCGGAAAATGGAACTGACAAACCATATGATGAGGAATTGTTTGCTCATGCACGAATCTGCATATCAAAATTAAGCGCTGATTTCAAGTCAACGCTTCAGGCATCTCTTCTTTTAATTCACTCCTTTTACTTTTCCTTATTTTTAGGGAATGTCGAAATATTTCCCAAATTTTCTCAACAAACCTGTTTCAAAGATATAGCAGTGGGGATTATGATTTAGAGTTTGTTACTATTATGAACCGTGCCTTGTTTCAGAAGATGTCAAGCTTGGAGTCAGGTTCTGGCGATGTGACACAGAGGCTGGAATCTACCGAAAAGGATTTAGCCGACTGTCGATTACTTCTGCAGCAAAATGAAGCGAAAAATAAATCGTTGCAAGAAACGATCACAGCACAAGAAAAAGTGAAACGTCAACTTGAAGAGCAAGTAAATTTCTTAGTTTTTTAATCGTGTTGAAATTTCCGAAACATTGTTAATTTCATTCATAGATGGTAATTTTGCTGTTCGCGTAATAAATGTATGGTGAAAATGGAAAAAGTAGTAGTACAAGTTTAAGCTGAAGTTTTGGTACCAATATGTTGTTTGTTTTCCTTTCACGTTTTGCACTATTGCAGGTGGACATGTTGAATGAAAAACTGGCGGCTGCGGGCGGTGAAGCTATCCAAATAAGTGATGGAGCAAAAGAACAACATATCAAACAAGTTGCTGCGCTGCGAGACGAAGTAGCTGAAAAAAGCCGCAAAATCGAGGAACTCACCGTCAGTAGACATTTCTGTTTTACTTTTACGTATAATGCTAACCTTTGATTAGTCATATGCAGTGTGTGCGTGTGTGGACATAAGCTCTTTTAGGCATCATTGCAAGATTTACGCGTCGCTAAGAATCAACTGCAAGCAGATTACGAAAAACTGAAAATGGATGAACAGGAACAGGAAAAGCGCATTAAAGAACTCTCTGGCTTATCCGAGAAACGAGAACAAGCGAAAAGTGATCTGAAGGGTATCATATTGTAGCTTTAATAATTTCTGTCGAAGAATTCACATTTTCATAAATACTTTTGAAGGAGTCTTATTCTAGGGCTGGAGGAAACAGTCGCGAAAGAATTACAAACACTACACAATCTTCGTAAAATGTTTGTGCAGGATATCGGGCAGAGGATTAAGCGAGCACCTACAGGCACAGAGCCAAATGAAGACGAATATCTATCATCACCGGCTCAGAAACAGAAGATCGCATTTTTAGAAAACAATTTGGATCAGCTAACGAAAGTACACAAACAGGTTGTTGAAGAATCTTGTCATTTAATTAAGAACCGAAATAGCCATACGAATTTTGATTTTCTATGGATTCTGTATTTTCTAGGTCTCAGTGGGCAAACTTATTTTTAATCATATAAAACTCAAAATCGAAAAAAAAATTTTAAGCTTGTGCGTGACAATGCTGATCTACGTTGTGAGTTACCCAAAATGGAAAAACGACTGCGTGCTGCCATGGATCGTGTAAAGAGCTTGGAAACGGCGCTAAAAGAAACCAAAGAAAATGCTATGCGGGATAGGAAGAAGTTAGTTGTTAAGAGATGTTTTTCAGCGAGAATATTTTTTTAAAACTTACCGGAACTTATAATTCAGGTATCAGCATGAAGTTGAAAGAATCAAAGAAGCAGTGCGTCAGAGAAATCTTGCCAGACGAGGTCTTGCTGCTCCTCAAATTGGTTAGCTTTTTGTTTGTTTCGTTGTTCAATACATTTTGCAACAAAACATAATAATTAGATTAGTGATTATTATATTTTAGCAAAGCCAATTCGTCCTGGACAGCATTATTCACCAGTGGGTACGACAGTGTCGGTGTTAACTTCGGCAATGCAAAATTCCATAAGAGGAGGAAGTCAACCAGTTATTGCGAATTTGATCAGTAATGGTATGTGAAATAGCTTTTAGTTTGGTTGACAGTATATTATAACGTGTGGCAAATACAAATATCAAGCTAAGGCAGATGATCCTTGATTCGTTGCAGTTAACTGATTTTAATAATTTTGAAAAAAATCTTAATAAATTGAGTCAGTCTTCATAATAATTTTTTTTATAATAGATAAAAGGATGAAGAATTGTTTGCTCTGCTCATATTTGCATGATATAGAATTCGTAACTTGAATTCTCTTTACCGAGTTAAAAGATGAAAATTTTATTTAATATTTTTAGCAGCTTGAAAAGTGTATATCCACGTTATGGTTTATCTATCATGAAATAAAATGCTACTAAAAGCACGCACACATTATCTCCATAATGGAAGAAAAATAATTCAGTCATATTTGAAAGAACCAATGTGATATATAAATGTTTTGCTTTGCCTTTCTTTGCAGTTGTTTGTCTATAATTCTTCTTTGATTTTTCTGTACGTTTGTAAAACTAAAGTTTGTAAAACTTTTTCAATATTTTGATTATTTTGCTTCAATTTTGTGATTCGTCCCTGTAAACTTAATCACAAATATACTTTGATTTAATTAAGGAATCATCAAATTATAAGAAAAGCTTATCACTTTAAAGCCATTATTTAAATTGAACTGTCGTAATTTTTTGCGATCCATTTGCTGACTAGACTTTTGATGATTCTTTAATGTTAAGCGAGGAAGAAGTCATAATCAATAAAATTACTAAATAAAAATTGGGTTATTTGGTTAGTAATGTAAGTTTTCTTTCCATTGTTTGATCAACTTCTGTGATGCCTTGCACCTTTTGGATTGGTCGTTTTGGGGCGATACCACAGTGAGATTACAAAAGGTTATTTTATTTTCTTGCTAGTAATTAGCTTTATTGAGTTACTATGTTTTTCGCCAGTAGTCACTTGTCACTGCGTGATACTTTCTAAATTTATTTTTTCATTTTTATCTGAAACTTTTAATTTGTTTGATTTTAAATTCACTCTTGCTCGTCTCTATTGCAATCTCAACTATTTCAATCTCATGCACATTTTTCGAAATATGTTTTTATCAATGTTCGAAAATTGAATTATCATACTATGCGATTATATATTAACGCGACTATTTTGTAATTTGAATAGAAAAAATGTGAAGTAAGATAAAGGTACGATCAAATGCGATATTGTGAATGCTGCTTTTTATTACATTTATATTTTTCATGCTTCTTTCCAGCTTAATTTTATCTATTTTGTTTCACTCTATATTCACTTTAATCGGCAAAAAAATCGGTTCTGCTGCAAATAAATTTATCTTTCTCTGAATGTATTCATTGTATTACAGTTAAGTACTTAAGTCACCCATCTATTATTTTGAAATGAATGAAGATTGATTTATCACGCGATGAAACAATTGTTAGTTAATTAAGGAATGAAGTCAACAATTTACCAACTGCTACTTAATTTTTCATATGTTATGGTTGCATGTTGAAAGAGGTCGAACATCGGGATTTGGGAGAGAATGTTTTGGTTGCTTTCTATGAACAAAGATAAAAACTGGTGAGTAATCCACTCAGAAATCAAGTATTTGAGATCATTTGCAGCTCTGTACAGTGATCACAGCAAGAAATGTCCCATGAAGAACGCGCGAAAATAAATGATACGAAAGATAACGATGGATACCTGGACAGCGATTCGGAGAAGATGGAAAGAAAATATAACAATGATACGAAGGAAATCCGAAATGGACGAGAAATAAATGTGAATGGCGATATTAAAGTGAGAAAGGACGAGTTAATTGAAGGAAATGAGAAAGATGAAGAGTCTGCTGGAGAGGATATTTGCAGGTTAGTTTGTAATTTCTCATTATTGACAATTTTTACTGATTGAAGATGATTTAGCTAGCGTAACACATATATCTTCGGTTTCAAATTTATTAATCTTTATCGATTACAACTTTTCCTCGTTTTAGAGATTTCTTAAATAATATATGCAGTCGTGGTTCAAGATGTAAATTTTATCATCCTTTGAATGTTGTTCGACGAGCATCACAACAAACACAAGAAAACATCGAATATCAGTTTTGCATTGATTATCAGGTAACTTTTACTTGGTGTGGAAAGATTACAAAGCCAATTTGTTTATTGTCTTATTGGTAAATAGATCCTTAAGACAGAATGTTAAGTGAAAATTTTAGCTATTTCTATTTGGAGCTGTCACATTTATCATTTATTGTGAGATGCTGTAATTAATGTGAATGATAAGAATTTGCAGGAGAGTTCATTTTCGAGTCGAAATCCAACTCATAGAGTAGGCAGACGAAACACATAAAAAATTAATGCAGCGATGTGAAATTTCAGAATCGTGGCTGCAATCGTGATAATTGCCGTTATATCCATGCGCAACGGGAGGATATTGAGCGTTACAAAATGACAGGAGAGATGACGCTTAACATAGCACGTGAAATTGCTGCAATTTATAATTGCGATACTATCAATGGGATACCATTTTGCAAAGAATATCAAATAGGTTCATGTTCACGTGGTGGACAGCGGTGTCGCTACTGGCATATTAACGTTGAAGAGGAGCGCGAACGACGCCGGCGGGTACCACGTAGCTTGCCAACCTCTTTGTTGCCATCCTTAGCGCAAGTATCAAGCTTAGCATTACCTTACTCTATCTGCTCCAATCGTCGTTCCTATCCGCATGTTGCTGCTGATATATGTTCTCCATATGGCAAGCGTATGCGCTACGATCTGGATGATGATTACGTGCGCGATTTAGAACGTAGGAATGCAGAGTTAGGTAAAGAAGTTGAAGGGCTTAAACGTGAACTTTCGCGTGAACGTGAGCGTTATGGCGATCTCTATGCATTATTTCGTCAGCGCACTGCTATTATAACAACGCAGCAAAACCCCATTAATGTGACACCTGTCGCCACAGCTTACTACCAATCTGCGTCATCAACATGTTGGACCGATACGAAATGGACGCATTGATTCCACTTCGCTCTCGCTAATGATAATTTTGCTTACTCTCCAAATTCAGGTTAACCCTCATGCAATCTTTTATTTGTAGATACACTTGAAATCCGGTGAGTGTAACTATTTAACCCTTCTCTTGTATTAGCAGTAGGGGTCAGAAGGAACATAGTATTTCCAGGTATGGGGAAATGTATTTGTATTTGTAAATTATCTGCATAACACAGGATAGGGAATACAGTGCTATTTTCTGGTATTCTAGGCAATATTTTAGATAAGTAAAAAAAGAGCTGTCATACATTTCTCATTTTATTTTGAATTAAATTTATGTTTTGAAATATCAATTCTTCAAATTCTTGGGGAGAAGCAATAAAATGAGGAAAATAGGCTTGCATATCTAGAGTTGTTTAGTTTTACATCCTATAGAAATAGAAAGTATTTTAATCCTATTTTGAAAAGATGATGCGGCGAGTATCATCTTGCCTTCTGCATCTCGGTTACATTTGTAAAGTAATAAATTTTCATTCATTTTATAGTATGTTTATAGTTATAGTGTATGTAAAAATCACTTATCAGTAGGGTGCATGCTGCATTAATGTGCTTTTGTCGTAATTTGTCTTGGGCTACATTAGAAGAGCAGTGTGTGGCAAACACCTCTTTTTTCAATTATACTTCGTATATTTTTCGATTCTATTTCCAGTTGTTGTGCATTTACTCTGACTTATTCTTTCAAATTTACTGAGTGCATTGTCTGCACTGAAATGCGAGCTTTCCACTTGTTTTTCCGTTTTGCGCCGAAAGCGAATGTAATAAATTGTTTAAACGTAAAGCATTATGTGTTGTACTTTATTGTTGCGGGTGTTATTATATTTATTTATGTTTTTTTTTGAAATCGTTGGAAAACAAGGCAAACTTTCGTTTAGAATCTCACATGAATGAAATTTGGTGTGATTAATTTATTAGCCTTATTAGAGATTTTCAATCAGTAAAATTACGATAACGAATCTACATGCATAATCCAGATGCACAAAAATGTCGAGATCAGTATTTTTAATTATTTTGAGTTGATTGGTTTGTTAGTATTTGGATTTTTTTTGAATCGGATTGCTTGTAATCAATAGTAGTCCTGAAAAAAGACTACTGATGATTGCAAATTTTTTCTCGCCATATTTCAGATGATAGTAACATTGTGGGCGCATAACTACTTAATGCGCAATACGCTTTTTCACGTAGCGAATAGGGGCTCAAAAAATATTGTGCATTGAGCGGTTGTGCTCATAATTCAAGAAATATCCTCAATTTGGTAAGTTTTTGTTTTTAATTCAAATGTGAATAGAGTTGAAAAATGTCCTGGAAGACAGTTAATTATTTATGATTTGTTGCTGAAATAATAATAATTACATGGTCTGCGTTGTTATAACTAAAGCAAAAGAAAATCACCATTTCTCTGTTTTAGTAAGGCATTACACTAATAAATAAGTGGAAAATAATAGGGCACTTTATTTTTTTATCCTTCACTTTATTACTTTTCAGTTTCTGTTTTTCATATTTTGTTGGGAAATCATGCAAATCAACGAACAAATTAAAATTGGTTTCATTTTAACTCTGATTTCTTTCTTGTTTGAATGGCAGTTAACATTAATGCCGAACGCAATCACAGTATGTAAATTTAATTGACGAAGTTAGCCTTTTGGTCTTTAAAGAATATTTACAATCTTTCTTTATAGCTCTTCTTTCTACGTTTTGAAGTAAATATTTATTAGAATTTATAAAAATACATGCCACTTCGACCTTTCGTTATGGTTTCAATAAGGTTGTATTTAGTATTCAGATTAAATTATTCCATTGTTTCTTCAGCCTCAATAATTTTGATGTTGCTTTTGATATTTGTTTATTAATTTTTTCGTGCAGCGCGCTGACAATTTTATTCGTATTCATCGGATTAGAAGATTAACTATAAGTTTGTGTTACAGATGTCGCGCTTTTTGAAACCCGTCGATTATAGTGATGATGATGAGTCTCGACTAGTTAGAGCAAAACCAATTGATCCAAAGTTTGCTCGCAAATTGGGCAATTATGCTGCTGGCAAAGATTTTATTACTGGAAGTTTGAAATCGCAACAGGAACTGAGAGGTTGTTGAAATCCTTCATAGTTACTAATTTAGTGTTAAATATTGGTTATTGTCTTTTTGGTCTTTAAAATTCTGTTTTTTCCAGTAACTCTAAGGTTTTAGTAGGACTAATTGGTTGCTATTTGCTTTACCCCAGAGCTTGAAATTCATTTTTGTGAAATTAAAATTTTCTTTTTAAGCTTTCTTTTTTGATATAAAAAAGTTTTGTGATGAATGTCTGTTCTTTCCTATGATTTTATTAATATTTTAGAAAGTAATATAGTTGTGGAAAACGATCCAAATGCAAGGGAAATAATGGATGAAAAAACTAAATTAGAACAATGTAACAAACTTGGTGCAAAAATATTGAAAGCGAAGCTGCAAGGAAAAATAGTATTTTTTTCACTATTTATATTCTCTTAAAATTATACTGTATTTAAATCCGGCAGTCTCAGCCAACTATGTTGTCTAATTTTTAGGAAATAGGTGAAGTAGTTAGTATTCAACAAAAATTATTCACCTAAAAAAATTTTGCAGGCTTTGGTAGAAAAATTAGAGAACGAGTTGCATGCACTAAAAGGAGATGGACAAGGCCTATCTTCGACTTGCAAAATATTGCTTACAACTGATGGAGGTGATGTGCGCATGCCTGCTACTGTGAAGCACGAAACAAAGGTTGCATGCCCCTTTTTCATTTGTGTATGGATTAGCAAAATGGATAAAAATTATTCTACAAATTAATTTTGTACTTTTTAGAAAACAGGAATGAAAATCAGCTTTTGATCTAAAAAATATATTGGCAACAGAAATTTTTTAATTTTGCTTACTTGCAGTAGCTTTGAGCTTATAGTATAAACGAAATCTTCCAAGAGATTCGGCAATTGTAGTACGCTTGAATTGGAGTAGCTAAATAGTTCTTGTGATCTTTTGTAATTTAACGAATATAAGTAAATCATATTTAGTTTGTTCGTCATGTTCGCATCCTTTTTTGTTAATAATTTCACTCTTAAATTGAAACTGAGGTTAGCATATCATATGACAGTTATAATAATATGCAAGTGTGCATTCAGAATTTAAAAAGTCGTGGAAAAATCGACGCAATTTATCATGCTGACAAAAGTATTCGCGATATGATAGCTGATGAGAAAGAGACAACATCTGCTGATCATATTTTTAGCGCTGTTAAGGTTAATTTAATTGACGAATTTTGGGGCTATTTATTTTTGAAATACTTGAAATACTCGAATGCCAGTGAAAATAATAATATCATTTGCTGAATAATTCCTAAAGATAGAAATATCGAAAAAAAGAAATTATGTATAAGTAATGCTCTCTTTTTGAATTGTGCAGGCTGCAGCGAAACATCGAACGGATGATGATTGGGTGGTTGATGATGCAATGATGAGCGTGAAACGATCACGGATGAGAGAAGAGAAAGAGAAGAGGAAAAATCGAGACAGTCTAATAAAAGGTACGTTTGTTTTTGCTTTATTAATATCACTAGAAATCACTGTTTATTGCTCGTATTATAGGATTTACGAATATTACCGTAGAAATTCAATAGCCATTGTCATTATTATTTCACAGTGTTCAACTATACTGGTTAATTCATTTTATTCTTTGTTAAGCAGAATAGATAATCTTTTTACAACCATTAACATCTTTAAAAACCATTTTATTTTTATAATAAATTTCATGATATTCAACAATAATCTGATTTTGTAAATAGTTTAATGCAAAATTTGAACAAATGATTATCAATATGTTATACATGGAGATAACAAGTAAATAAGCTATAACTATAAACAAAAATTAAATATGTAAAATTCACAACTGAAACCACATAAGTACACCACAGCTATTAGCATTGACAAAAGGAATTAGCGGAGAGCTTGGAAAAAGGAAGAAGAAACCGCGATGAGCGAAAGTTTAAGAGAGAAAGGCTGAGAAACTTATTTTTATTGATAATGTGTAAATACCAGTTTTGTGTATTCAAGTGCAGATTTGCTTAAGTCTTCTTTGATGCACCAAATATAATGAGTAATATTCAGAGCACCTTAGATCAGTATGCAGAATCTGGTAAGAATTAATTTATGTACATTTAAAAAAAATTTCTCACTTTCTAAATTTTTATTAAGTGGCATAATGGTGCTTTTTTTCTGGATAAATTTCAAGACGTATGTTGTCTTTGGCTCGATATTTTTTAAACTATGGATATCAAGAATAATAAAATTCATTTAGTCGAGAAGAGCTATAATTTTAACCAATTGTTTTCGTAAAATTCATTGATCTTGTGAACGTATCAGCGCACATAAAAATTCATTGAGAAAGCGTTCAAAAATTCTCCGTTTTGCATTCTTATTCCATGATCCTTGATTCTAATGTTTAGCATCATTGTCGATGGAATTGATCCAATTGTTTTGACAGTTTCTTTAAAACTGTTATCGCACTCGCACTATCTTTTGACCTTTCCAACGATTTTTCATCTGCAATTCAGTGAGATATATTTTTAACTTATTTATATCTGTCATTTTGTTGAATTGGTTAAGTTTCAATTAAAATATTCGATAATATAATGTGCATATGATTAGGATATGAGTATTTTAACACAACATTCCGCTTATCATAGATTTCTCTTACTTTATAATATTAATATGTTCAGTGACTAACTAATATGCCCAAAACTTAAAACGAACAGGTGGATTAGAGATAAAGGATCTTTTTGAAAAACTGGTAATTAAGAGAACTGATTAATCCCATTTCACTCAGTTTGGTTAGTATCGCTCATAGTTCATAGTAAAGCATTCAAATTAGACAATTATTAAGATAATATCATGCAAACTAGAATGAAAAAAAAAGGATTGGAAGAATGTCCGGATATTCTTTAATTATAATTTTTCAATGTGATTTGATTTTAAAATAAATTCAGAGATGAAATAAATCACGAAAAGTACCAAAAATTTATACAACAGTCAGTGATTCGCTATAAAGAATCTTTGACTGTTATAGAATTTAATTAACTTCAAATAATTTACAGTTACGTAAAAATATAGTTCTCTATAAGCAAAAATTGATTCACATTACAAAACCCACTAATATAACTTATGATTAAAGATTAAAATTTTCTATATAATTTCTCGACCATAGAAATTTGCTTCAGCATTATGCTCAATTCATTAGTAAAGCAAACTTTAATTTCAAAAAGTAACTTGCCAGAATTTTCATTAACAATGTCATTCTCTGTTCGACATTGAATATTTTCAAAATAAGCAGCTTGTTTGAATGGTCTCATAAGTTTGGGATTATCCAGTTGAGATTCACTTAACAATTCACAAAAACCATTTTCCTAAAAAATTTCAAAAAATTCCCATACTCTCAATTATAGTTTTTACTGATGGAAAGATGAGATTGCGATTCATGTAGGCAAGCCAGAAGGAGTAATACTGATAAAATTCATCTTCAGTGACGATATAAGTGCCATATTGATTAAAACTAATCAAGCAACCGTGTAATTTAATTTATAAAACTGATTATACTTAATCCGTCATAAGTAAAATAAAAAGAAGGACAACAAGAATAATAAAAAACCAATTTAAAAACAAACAAAACAGAAAGAAATGAAACAGGGGTGTAAAAAAGTAAAACCGCATGTAATTTTTACTTGTAGCCGTGCCATAAATTTTCGAACATTTTGTATCACTGACAAAAATTGTAATCAAATTCGTGTAGTACCATGTTGTAATTTAGAAAATTCAAATTTTTTTCTTTCTGTGTTGTAAAATTAGAGATATATAGTATTTAAATCATCCACATAAGTGTAGTTAAATCAGGTTTTAATGAGCTTTTTCTTCATCTTTTGACTGGAAAATTACTTCCTTGTAAGTGTAAGAATCGTGCAAATATAAACGATTACAGTAAATGGAGGGAAAAAACAAGGAAGTTAAGACAAAAATTTCGTTTAGTTTATGATGATAAGTCATATAGGGTTTTTTTTAAATTTCTGTTGCTTTATTTTTGTTAAAACTGGAATAATAATTCATTTATGTATCCTGCCTGAAATGTCATAGGTGCGAAGAAATTGACCGCAACACATTTTGAATGTTTGATACATTTGTCCAAACATTCAGTATGCTTTAATACATCCATAGATGCAATCATTGGCCCGAAATATGCATATTCTGGTATCGCTTCACTTTCAAGTCCATCCGGACATTCTATAACTTTGAGCATTATTTAAATTCAATTTTAAATTTGTTAATCAAAAAATAACTGAAAACATGTCTCAATAAATTATATTGAAAGTTATATTTCAATGAAACTGTGATTTTGTAATGAAAAAAAAAAGTGTAATATTATATTAGGGATGAGATTGAATAGGGGAAAACAATTAATTTAATGTTTTGTTTATTTTTAATGATATTTTGTTTTTTTTTTTAAAAGAATTCCAGTGTCACATTTTTATTGGAGAAAAATTTGTGTAACCACTTTAAATTATCTCAATTAGTTCTTTCCGTATTATAATAGTCCATGATGAAGTAAATTATTTGAGAATTACTAACCAGCAATATCGTAAATAACATCATAAAATGGTGGTGATCGAGCTGGATTCATGTATGCTCTTGGATCGCCAAACCATTCGGTGGTAGCCCAAGTAAAAATCGGAATATTAGCAATTAGCAGTAGGAGCAAATTCTGATGGGACAATTTTTGATGTCCATCAATTGTCGTACAATACCGCCACAACATGCCTTTTTTGCTTAAAATTCTTGTCTTCAGGAACTGATAAGACAGACTGCTACTGCTATAAATTCCACTCCTTAACTAGCGTTATTTTCGCTGTTGCTACTAATGATGTCTGTTTTTGACGGTGATGAAGATAACAATGTTGATGATGGTTGACCGTGATCGTTTTCCTTTCTTTTCTTTTTCATCCATCTTTTCATTTGTATTCGAATCTCCCATCATGAACTATTTTCATCTCTTCTCCTCTTCAATTTTCATCCATTTAAAATTGTCGATGAGTTTATGTGTCAGAGTATATGGCACTCATTTTATTCTGCTCTCTCAGTATCTCTTAAAAAGACATTGGAAAAAGAAGTTTTATGCACAAAGAAAAAAAACTTATTTCACTCGAAAAAAATTACTTGTTTTTCTAATCTTTAATTTTTATTGTATGAATTTCGAAATAATTATTGCATCAATAACAATCAAACGATAACAATAAATGGGAGCAGCAAATGTATGTAATGAGACGAAATGGCGCTAAATGAATTCATCTAACAGAATCCGCCAAATATGTTATGTACAGATAAAAAATGTTAGAAAATATAAATTATTGAATAATTCCACAAAATTCAACATTAAATTAAAAAGAAGATAATTAAATATAGGAATTTCAACCCATCATTATTGATCAAATTTATCATTATCACTTTCTTGAATACTATAAACCAATCAATTTATTAGTTTTTAAATTGCAACTTTTGTCCTGTTGTCAGCATATTTCAGTGCGTTGACGAAAAGATAAACATTTTCATTTTTCCAGTTTTTTTTTTCAATGCTATATTAATGAATGCAATGATGGCATCTCACTGATTAGAGAAAAGATAGAAGGAATGGAAGAATTTTAATTAATGATAATAGCGATAATGTGGAGAGATTAGTTTTTGTACTATTGAATCCTACAAATTGTGTATAATTTTGGTGAAAAAAATTTTCTGTATTTACCTACAGTAGTACATGCCTCCCTCATTGTTGATTGCATCAATCATCAGCTTTAGGAATAAATTTAATAGATGTGAGCATTAAATTATTTGTCATTTTGTAACGAAAATGTATGGAAATTAACTGAAAGCGGAGTAATTTTCGTTTTTTTTTTTGAATTTTTTACCAGAATTTTCACTGATTTTCGCCAAGTTTCTATTAAATTTCCTACAAAATTCATTAAATTTCCAGTCACATTTGTCAAATGGTGTCATAAATTGCTGAAAACATTTCCAGTAGCTTTCTTAGAAATTTTCCCTTATTTTTTTTCTACCAAGTATTCCAACATTCCTAAGCAAAAATTTCAATTTTAACTGTTTATATTGAAAACTTGATAGCATTAAGAATATCGTATTTTTCTTCTTCACAACCATTAATTATAGGCTTTTATCATAGCATATTCGGATTTCTATCATGATAAAATGGCTTACAATATAACTAAAATGAACGCAATTTTCATGCTTATCCATAGCATTTATATTATGTATAATTATTGATGCTAAAAATAGAATAATTCATCATAGGGGTGTTTGTTAGTCAGCAATTTTTTAACAAAGTAGTACAAAATATTTATAACGACATTTTGAAAACAATAAAATAGAATGATATCCAAATTTCAAATCTTTATCTACGCTTATCTCATACAGTTTAAAAAAAATTGGCAAATATTTTTTGCAGTTCTTTATCATTTCAATTACACTTCACATCACAAATCGACAAACGTCCTTCACATTTTTCGCATTCTTTTTTTTTGTTTGTATGAGTGATCGTGCAATGTTTCGTGCAGTGTTTGTTTACAAAATTTTTACTACATGCAAACTTTGTTACAATGAGATAATAAAATCTTAGGATATTATGACTATACTTCAATCCAACTTCAAAGTATCACAAATCTTAAAGAATTTTCTTTCGGGAATATTCTTATTTCATTAAAATTATTCAGCCAATTTTGCTCGACAAGGTGTTTTTTGATTTTTAAACTAAGAAGTTTGTAAGCAAACTTTTTTTTATACCATTGAATCACTTTCTCAGGCAATAGAAATAATGAAAAGGTTATTTGGTTCATCATCAAGTATGAAGGCTTAGGTGAAAAGTCTGAAGTCACGTTCATCGAATAGTTTTGTATCACTTAATGGAGTTAAAAAGTTTTACTCCTGCCAATATACCATTTTTAATGAGGCATTCATATTTCTGAGTAAGAGGAATAATTCGAAACTCAAGGTTGAAATGTAATTGTAAAATTTAAACATTCTCATGATAGTCGAAGGATATTGTCATAAACAAATTTACTTTCAACTTCAAATTAGAAGTATGATTTTTTAACGCAACTCCGTATTATGGATTTTTACCAATAATCTAAATTTCATTCATAAGAAGGCTTCCAACAAAGTTTTATTAAACTTCTACTTTTGCATAAACAGCAAGTTATGTCCGTCCAATGTCTTCAGATTAATCAAATTAATTTTAGAGAATAGAATTTATGAACAAACGCTTGATTCCTGTCGATTTTGTGTCGAGGCGGCATGTTTCCGAAAATATTGTATGGTAGCTTGTGGAAATAGCGTATGTTTTTTTTTTGCTTATTGCTTTATTTTGTAACATTTAAAATTAGCAAAAAAAAATCATAATTAGAATGTTTTTTCCTAACTAAAAATTAATTTCAATGTAATTTATGACATCTTTATTTCAAAATCAGAAACCCAACAAAGATAATTTTGTAAAAATAATTCAATTGTTATAAATCTTCACCGAAATTTCAATTGATCTTGCCATTTATTATCTTTTTCTTGAATCATTCAATATTTAAGAGAATTTTCATTAGCTAGTAAAAAATAATTGAATAGTATAGATGTTTGTTAATATTGATGTAGTTTAGGTCTATCTGTCATCCGTTCCATGGCAACCTTTGTTAAAAGAGCATTGTTTGATCGTTCCCATTGCACATTATTCTTCAACTGTGACGCTTGATGAAGATGTTTATGACGAAATACGAAAATTTAAAAGAGTATGTCCTATTTCATATTTCCTTTTTGTATTCTTACATTTATATGTATTATGCATTGTTAGCATTGTGGATGAAATAAGCTCGTTAGGGAGATATAAAAAAAAATTGTGGCATAATGTCAAAGCTATTGTTTAACACTAAAGCAATCGTCATTTATGATACAATGCAAACAAAGGTAACCGGCTGATATAATTAGAATACAGTGCCCGAGAAGGTTGAGAAACTTAACTTACTATTGATTAAAAATTTTACCTTGATTCCAAAATTTTAAAAGAACATTAACAAACTTGAATGCGAAAAAAAATTTTTTTTTTGTTTGCTTTTCTTTACCAAACATGCATGATGTTTACAGCAAATATTTTTTGTTTCCATAAATAGATGTGTACTTGTGGTTTGTGTATGAATCAGTGTGGTAAAATTTGCTTGAAAAATATGTTAAAAAATAAAAGGTACAACTAACAACTATCCATAAAAATTTTCTAGGTATATGTTTTGCTATAATGGATTTAAATTTTTGTGATATTTAAATATCTTCTTGACTCAGCATAAATAATCATGTCTGAGAATGGGTTTGATTCTCACAAAAAAAACTTTAGGTGTTAAAAAATCTTTTTCAAATGACAGAAATGTTAATAACAAGAAAAATAGTGATAGTATAAATAGTTTAAGCAGTTTAGATGCTGCCAGCCAAATGGTATAAAATGGTGACAACTGCGATGGTTCTTCTGATGCTATTGATTTAAAGCTATTAAATGTCTGCAAGTGTAAACATATCTCCAAATCTATCCAATTTATTTAATGTGGTTGATCTTGCAGTAATTCGATTGCGTGTCGAATATGATGTTAATATTCGCTATCAGAAAGAGTCTTCTGATCAAAATCTTTAAATTACTTATCTAAATCTTATCGTCAAACTATTGAAAGCTAATAAATTAGGAGCCATAGCAGTGTAAAGCATCCATTGTCTTTTTCTCCCTTTCTCATCTATAAAGGATAATAAATTGTTTTATAGGCTTTAGTTTCAATGTGGAAAAAGGAAGAAATGGATTGTTTGTTCGTAGAAACAGCCAAAAATGTGAAACACCGCAAGCATATGTATATTGAATGTATTGCGGTACCAAATGAAATTGGTGAAATGGCACCTATTTTTTTCAAGGTTTTTTTGTCAATTAAAAATTTTAAATGTTTATGTGTTTTCATCAATTTCCATCTTGACAATGGATATTACTGGATGTTATTTGAGTCATTTAAAAATAAACAACATGTAAGTAATAAAAGTTGAACGACGGTAAAGACATTCTTTGCCATGCAATTTGATTTTTGCTTCTGTATGGTTGCACTAATAATTATAAATATGTAATTTATAGCAATCATATTATAATCCCTTTATTAAGTGTAGTTTCCCTGTTCGATTCTTTCTTTCATGGAAGAGTAAATTAGAATTTATGGACATTTAGAACAGTCATCTAAGATAGCATATGTAGATAAGATACACATCGTCATATTTTGAAAAATCCGTTTCTTTGTTAAATTTTAAAATCAATTCAGAAAGCGATTGATGATAGTGAGGGTGAATGGGTCGATAACAAAAAGTTGGTGGATCTCAGTAAACGAGGTGGAGACGTTCGAAAAGTTATTCCGAAAGGATTCTCGTATTTTGCAGTCGATTTTGGTTTGCAACCAGGTTATGCACATGTTATTGAAAACGAAGATCGATTTCCGCAGAATTTTGCTCACGTTCGATTTTCGATTGTTGATTTAACAAGAAACAAGGAAGAAGACGAAATTCATATCTAGATGAATACATTCTAGAAGATAGAGAATTTGTCTCGACTTAGAAATTCCTGGGATTCCTGAGATCCCTATCTCTATTTAAGGGGAATTCATGTATTTAAATTAGTAGATTAAATGCAGTAAATTCATGTTAAAAGAGGCGTATATTTTTTTGATCGTGAAATTAAACTCCATAAACAGCACATATTCTCAAAATTCCACTCTCTGTCATTTTTTTCTTTTAATCTTAGTATAACCGTTAAGAATAGTGTAACTTTCAGAAATACTGCAGTTTCTCATTGTAGGAAATAATCGGTGGTATGATGAATGTGGACAGAAGACAGTGGAGAATGAATGAAAGTCTAACTGCGGAGGAACAACGAGCAAATACCGCAGAACTGAAACGTTTATGGGAACCATTTGATTGGAAGAAAGAATTTAAAACGTGATAAATGAACAAATAGATGTAAATGTACTCATTTCGGTATCTCATCAACATTATCAGCTTCTTGAAAACATAAATTTTGCATCAACTGGAATGATTTGCTGGAATAGAGCTTTAATATTCTTTTGGTACCTCAGTTAATTTCAATTTGATTTGTGCATTTCATTCATGCATGCAAGATTAATTGTTGTAATTTTATGCGATTGAACATCTTAAAAGAGCATTAAATGATTGTCTACCAAAGTGTTCAGAGGCGGATCACTCTTGCAGCTACGAAATGCTCGAAATTTAGTTCGATATTTTCTAAAATATTTCATTTCAAATATATGCAAACGTAATTAAAACGATCGAATATAATGCATTGTTAGCAAGCAATCAAGCATTTCCCAACTAAATTTTTATCAACTTTTCAAAGCGTCAACAAACCGTTTCACTTATTGCGCTGATATGGTCTATATCGTATTTAGCCTCGAGGGATGAACTTTGTTAGGCTGATTTGTATTCACAAAAAGTTCTTACATAACGATGCTACGATGCTATCATGAGCTTATGTTCAAACGATTAGCGATTTATTTATTATTAACGGTGTCATTCCGACATTTCCTGATTTCATTCTCTTCTAAGCAGAACTGACACAATACATACAGAAATAATATATGCATATTAAACGATTATTCATAATAGATATGAAGTGTTATTATTGGCAATTTGTTGCAAATTAATTTTTTATTCATGGCTTAAGAATTTTAGATATTTTTTATCAATAACAAGCATAATAAAAAAAAGCAATTTGGAATAATTTGATACATTTCACTGCAATCTTTCACTTATTCTTTAGAAATTTAGCAAGTTTTGATAGGATTCATTCATCTTGAACTAATGCTTTTTCAACTAATCTCTCATAGTTATAACGAAAATTGCTTATACAGTTTCACATATTTCAAAAACATGTTGTTAAATGTTAAATCAGTTCTCAGTGATATAGCAATATATACTGTTTACCGTTTCATCAAAAAAAAAAAAAATGTATAAACCGGACTGTAGAATGTAATGATTACAAAACTTCTTGAGAAACCTATGAAATATATGTGCACACTTTTAAATAGTAATAATGAGATAAAAAAGAAATGGGGACATTAATTGATCTGTCGTATTCTTCTCTATCATTTCCTCTTCTCCATATTTCTCAGTATTCGGTATTCAGGAGTTGTCGGGAAAATGTTCCACATGTGAATTATCATCATCGAATGTAACGCGAAATACTTCTGCCGAGACGATGGGAAAACCGTTACGAATTGCAATATCATTAAATACATTGCATAACAGTGCTAATCGTGCTATCACTCGAGCTGCTGCGATACGCATTGTAAGTTTATATTCCGAATAGCAACAGAGATGTGCGTGTTAACGCGTCACGTACAGATATGCGAGTAATTTACTTTCAGTCATTTTAAATCAAAGTAATTATAGCATGTATAGAATTGCCAAAGAAAAGATTCGCTTCCGAATACTATAAATGAAGAAGGAAGGTAAAGAAGGCATTTCGAGCATATCTAATCACTGTTCATTTTAGAAATTTAAATTTACAGACTTTTCAAAAATTTAGTATAGATAAGTTTTACATTGAGTTGTCATAAAGATTTTATGCTAATTTAGAAGCTACGATGTTTATTTTCATTTTGCTAATCAATCCTGTCTACAGAATGATGAGTATGATGAATTCGATCATACCCAAGCATATATTGCGCGTAGAACATTAGCACACGTACCCTTGTTGGCGGAAAACAATGCATATCGAGTTATTCTTCAACAGGTCAGTCATATTTCGATCTTTTCATTAATTGATACCAATTAGTATTAATTATGTTGTCATTTTCAGTACTATGAAAATTGTGATCAAAGAAATTGTTGAATTGCAGAAAGCTTGAATTATATCGCCAAATTATATTTAATCTATTGCGTCTGCACAAAAAACTATCATCGTAGCTTCAATCTATCTCATAGTGAAGAGAGCAAAAGACTTTTTTTCTTTGCTATAGAAATGATAGATAAAATTAACATGAATATGATCTACAAATTATTCTCTCTATTGGATCAAATAATTGAGCACATTTCGGTTCTGATAAGTCATTCATTGCTGCTAACAATTAATAGCCAAGTCAAATGAACGGTCGACGTTCTCTCACCCAAAAATGTTTGAAGGAAAAAGGATACAATGAACTAGTACGAAAGCCTTCACAACCTAGCGAAAATTCTCGTGTGGAGTGTCCAGGATTTCGAAAAGTGCCGGATTTGGAGCCACTTAGAGCTACCCCACGTCATAACGCAGAAGTTTGTCTTTTATCTCGAACATATGAAATTTTCAAGCAGACAAGAATTTCAGTTAGTAAGTTATGAGACAATTTTGATTGAATCATATAAATTATATTAGATTTAGTGAGTGTTAGCTTCTTTCTGTCAACAAAACTAAATTAAGCGGAATAGCTTGACTGTTGTCGCAGTGAGCCATCTTTAACAGTTATATATTAGGTATGATTGAAGTGGAAGCGGTCATACGTTATCCACTGAACGTTCAGAAGTATGCCTAACTTTAGAATCGATTCCCTCTTCATGCATATAATTTTTTTATAGGTTTGTACTGATGAAGCTTATCTGAAACGACATGAGAAATATGAAAAGCAAGAAAAGTTGATCAAGCGTCGGGATCGCATGCGACAACGTGAGGAGCAATATCGGTTGGAGTATTTATCCGTTCTTTTTTTCCAATATTTTTAAAAGTCGTTTTTGCGGTTCAATTAGTTCTTGGTTTACGTGGTTATTTCAACAATTCAACTTATATTTGTCACAGTACTTCGTTATATAGCCGCAAATGTTTAGATTTGAAGCATAAAATTCCCACTTGATTTGTGACCATGCATTTCAGACTTCGTCTCATGAAAGTGGAGAAACCGGATACTTCACCTGAGCCAAAAATAGAATCAATAGAAGTGGTAGAGAAAAAGCCTCGCTGTCGAAAACACTGACTTCTATTGTAAAATATATTTATGGTCGGACAGAATATCAATGTTCTGATGAAAATGTTATTTTAGTATAAATATAACATAACTCCCAATTTTACACTGCAAATGAGAACTTTGCATAAATTTTTTCTTGTTCTATTCATGTACTTGCACGTTTTAGAAAGACCATCTAGCAATTCGCTATTATAAATCTGTTGTATTGTTTTAAAAGAAGATTCATAACTGTTTAAAATTAGATAAGATAAGGTTTGGATATCCATTATCCCCATCCTTTGCAGAGGTTAAGATCATTCTTGCAAGAATTAGATTTGCCATATAATTGTCAACAGCACAGACCATGTGGTATATTAAGTAAGCTTGTTCAAATGGTTAAAATTTTAGTTCAAATTGTTGGTGTCGTAGACTGGTTTGGACACAAAGTCTGGAGTAATTTTCTGTGAGTTTTGACAAATATTTGCTCCATCTTGAATTTTTTAGAAATTTAGTATGCGGTTGTTTCGATGAAATTATTAACTTGAGACACCAATTACTTTCTGATTAAGAATGGAGTGTTTTTCAAATGATGAAGTGGATTTTCTTTTTAGAATATATCGTAGTGGGTGAAGGATGGTTGGTAGAATATTAAATATAGCATGAAAAATCACAACACATCAATTTTTTTACGTCACTTAATACAAATAACCCACAAACATGCTAATTCATATTCAAAAAATTGAACCACCTGCGATGCGTAATTAATAACATCTAGGAACACCGAATGCAAGGGTTACCTGAACGTATTTATTCCAACATCCTTTTTTTAAAGGAAGGAATTTTTGCTGTGGTGGAAGCTGAAATTTGAATTTAAGCAAGCAATAACGCTCACCTTTTTTTTCTCTCTTCATATAAAATTTTCTCTCTTCAAACCAAAAACAATCCCAGAGCTCTTCTGTTTTTCCTCATCTTCATTCTTTCTTCATCATCTGAATTATTTGTGTTCTTCAAAGTTCTTCATTTCACTTTCTTCATTTATCATCACTTCACTCAAGCGTTTCTGGCTTGCAGCGAACTGCAACAAAGAATTTTTTGGAAAAAAGTGGCATTATTATTCACAATGAGAGAATTTAATAATGCGATGATCAGCAGAGAAAACAATTAAACGCACAAACCAAACAATAAAAATAAATCAAATAAAAAAACAACTGCTACTTTAAAAAAAAAAAAATGATATTTGCTTTTGCAGGAGAGGACTCCTTGCAGATAATCAATAATAATCCCTGTCACGGTCATAAGATCGAGAACGCCTCCGATGACGATCATCGTAACAACGAGGAGACGGACTACGCCTGTAACGGTCACGATACGGTGGTGAATAACGATCATAATCGTCGTAATCATATCCTCTGCAAAAAACCATGAAAATGGCTATGAAAACATCAGCTATTTTCATTCCATTCCTAACTAAAAAAAATCGCAAATGTTGGATATTTGTCTTATTTGGAATTCTATTACCAACCTGCTGTAGTATCTGTTTGGTGAGCTATCTCGATATCGTCTATAACTACGACATGGAGACGGACTTCGACGATATGACCGAGGTGCAGCGCGTCGACGCGAATCTACAGCTCCCATATAAATGCCAGGTGTTGGTGTATGAGGTCGTTTCGTTATCGAATAATCAATTCGAATTTTGTGGCCATCAATTTCTGTGCCGGCTACTCGCTCTTTTGCTTCCATGGCATCTTCGATTTTTTTAAAATAAACAAAACCGAAACCGCGTGAACGTCCGGTTGGATGATCAAATACCAATTGAACGTTATCCAAATCTCCATACTGCGAGAATAATTCCTAAAAAAGAGGGACTGAATAAAGAGAAAGTTTTCACAAAGTCGCACTCTCTTCCATATTAGCAAGTTAGTAATATGCTAATTTCATTCTTTTCAATCTAACTTATTTAGGTCTCATTTTTTACGTCTTAACTGCCTTAATGCATTGCCGTTGCTAATGAGTATACAGTAAAAAACTGAGATACAAATCAACATCGAATGCAATAGCATTTTATAATCAAGCAAAAGCCAAGTATTGTTGGCATATTTTCCTTCAAAATAATGAGAATAGCAATAGCTTCTTTTCAGGAGATAAGATTAAATGACAAAAATAATCCTTTGTTCATTAACTTCTTATAACAAACAAAAATTTTCGAAAAAGCAAACTTTGAGGTCACGTTCTGTTGTATAAAGGGACAAGCCAAAAACGCCAAGGCATCGAGATGGTTCTGGTTCATCGCGTCGAGAAAATGTATATCTACGATCATCATAACTACTGCGGTGACATCGTGGAGATCTCGAACGATGACTTGATCTAAACACATTTGATAGGAATGTCACCATAATTTAAATAATAAAAATCAGCTAGCTAATTTAGTTTATCTAATTTATATTTTGTCCTCTTTAATAAAACGGTTTCAAAATCCATGTTAGCAAAATCCTTTCTCGAGCTCCTTTACAAGATACATTTTGCTATTTTTAACAAAAAATAACTACATATGATTACCTTAAATGACTTTTCGAACCACTGCGAGAGCATGAACTCGATTGCCTGCGATCGCTGCAAAATAATTAAACTGACGCAAAACTGAAGAATTGAGATTTAAGAAAAACAAATCCATTATATTTCTGATTTATATTTATAACATGCAATAACATGCAATTTATAACATGCAATTAGACATGATTAAATTACCGTGAACGAGATCTAGATGCCTCCGACGGCGACCGTGAACGCGAATCCTCATCACTTCTTTCAACAACATCATCACTTTTGCGTTCCTAAAGTTCACAACATCTGATAATGTACGCCTTTTTGAAGAAAGCACTAGAAGAGCTACAAGTATAGCAGCCTAGTGCACAATACTGCTTATGTAATCTGAATAATATGTGTTTAATTTCTCGCCTGGAGACGTGCATACCTAATATTAGTAATAGTGTATTTCAAGTTAATTATTAGCAGTATATTTTATATATTTCATAGCATAAAATGCGAAAATTTTCGTATAGGATTTTCGCTCATTATATAAGAAAACCTCCGTATTTTATGGACACTATAAACATATAAAACGTGCTGCCAATAATTAACTTGAAGTACACTACTGTTGATATTAGGTATGCACGTTTTCAGGTGAGAAATTACACATATATTACACTAGAATACTGCACATTAATTTATGGAGTAAATTACTGAAGTAGTTTATTAGATTTATCTGCTGGTTCATCTCGTCCCTTATTTCTTTTTCAGATATACAGCTAATATGCACTGAAACTTCTAGCAACTAATTTCCTATATGCCGATGTATTAATTTCATTTACACCAAATATAAAAGTCAAACAATAAGAAAATACAACATATTATAATGAGAACTTAGATGAACTTGCTTTAAACACCAACTGTTATAAGTAGATAAGAAAACCCCAATAACGCACTGATCAAGAATGAATTTTATACTAAAATATAACTTACATCGCTTGTTTTGTCGCCATTACTTTTGCTTTCCGATGATTTACTACCCTCTTTCCACATGTTTTCCTAAAAAAGGTAGTTCATAGTAACATAAAGCAAACAAAAGAATCCGAAACACTGCATCAATTATAAATATACTCGTCCGTATGGAACGGATTGCCTTCGATGAATTAATAGTTTCAAAAAAGCTTTATTAAATTCGACAAAAAATACATTACAACAGAAACAAAAGACCAACAACAGAGATTCATTAGTCAAAATTTGTTCTACAACATTTATTATCGAAGATACAGGTATTTAACATTTAAAATATTATTTAAGATTCATTTCCTCAAAGTAAAGCACAGTAATTCAGAAATATCCAATGATCGCCGTATATCTAATCATTATAAAAATGTTTATCTCACTTAATAGGTGCTTTGGTTAATATACATTTTGTGAGAAAATTCGAAAAAAAGGAGAAGCAACACTATCTTCGAGGTATCTTTTTTTTTATTTTCTTTTTCACTGATAATTTCTTTAAGGCTTTCAAAGCTGACAATTTGTCAAATTCGACTTCTAAATTCTTCTTAACGTTTAGTTCCTTTTTAAGCTGTTTGTAATTAAGATAACTATTTTTCGACGGTCGCGCTCCTAACTTTACGGCTAATCGAGCCCTAGCTTCAACGCGTTCAACCGCATCACCACATTCATCAGCGGCAAATTTCTCTACCTGCAACTTATCACGAATAGAAATCAAAAACTTTCAAGAACTTCGGTTTTTACTGAAGCATCGAAATGTCATAATCTTATTAGATCAAGGTAGAAAGCTTCTTGCTCACAAGGTCACAACCCTCTCAAAAGCTTAAACAATTCGAGAAAACAACATCACTAATTATTTAGTGAACCAACGGTTAGCACTGAAAGTTAAAAAACGAAAAGCTTGTATAACAATACCCAGACGTCTTACAGAGGTTGCCTGGCTCCTTCAAATACTAGTATTTGCACTTACATCGAAGGTTACTTTCTTCAAAGATACAGCATTTGATAACTCCTTCCCATCTCTCAACCCTGTTTTCAGAATCTTTTTCTGAATCGCTTTATGCTCTTTCTTACATTGCCCGAATAATCCGGAGAACGTGCACGGAACTATCTGAACAATTCGAAGTTTTTGATTTCTTGAAAATTAAACAGACTAATTTGCTCTCTGCTGCATGTAATATTCGGTTGCCATTATAGCAAATCACAACCATCTAGAAATGGGTGAACGTTCAAATACTACTATTTTAAAAATTTCGGATAAAAGTACGAATTTTTTAAAATTCCACAAACTAAAATTCAAAAATTCCTGCAGCATAAATTCAAACATGTCTTTATATCCCTAACAAGTTTAATCTTTTGAAAGTAATCTACAGATATGGAAACCATTAAAGAGATAGCATATCACAAGCATTAAAGGTAATTTCTCAGTTACCTGCATCTCTTGACCAATATCTCTTTCTAGAAAATTTGTTGTGTTGAATGAATCTAATCCACTTGCTAATGAATCCATTATTTGATCGAGAGTTCCCGATCCTCCTGCAAGCACATCCTCCCGACCATCGATATTCCAATCCTCGTTCATCTGAATACCGCGCCAATCATTTCCCTATGCAACTCGCACTCACGTACCAACAGCATCCCATTTTTAGCAACTCGAATTCCTGCCTGTCCTTACAAAATCTGTGTCTCTTCGATTGGTTCCATTACTGTGTGTCCTCTCATTTCACGAAATCCTTCTTCCTGAAACATGAATTTCACGAAGTTCTCCTTGTTTGAAATATGAATTTCATGAAATCCTTCTTACTTTCATTTCTCACAGAATCGTACTTTCACAACAACGTGTCCCTCTTCATGAATGTATTAGCTGAACAAAATAACCATCAGTAATAAAACTGAGCAAAATAACCATTAGCATAAAATTTTTTGTATGTGACTCATGCAACAACACATGCAACTCCAACTAACATGCTATAAATGTTAACAGTAATTGATCTCAGCAAAACGATTCATTCCTCGATATCCAATCGCTGCTTTGACATTGAAATGAAAGTTGTGTGTAATTTCGAGACTACCCTATTAATTGTGGATAATTTTTTCCTTTTTCTCTTACGAGAAGGCCATTGTCCAGATCCATTAGAGAGGATTCGCCAAACGGTCTTCCTCGATCCGACTAATGTTTGGGACGGGGTAGGATAAGGCTTGTTCGATTTCAACCAAGTATGTATAGTTTATCTGAAATTTTCACTAAATACTTTCAAAACTGATCACCAATGCATTATGATGAAACATTTGGTCAAAAGCCTCACGACTCCGTTGTAGATCGATTGCTAAGAAACATTATGTGCACGAAGATAACACAGCTTAAAGCTCTCTAAATCATGGTTAGTGATGTGACAATACAATATATTTGTTAATTTCTATTTCAATATGCCTCTCTCCTCACAGAGATGACGAATACTTTCATCCGTTCCACGTATCCGTCCATTCACCCAAGGAGACCTTTTGCAACAGAGACGAGACGTCAGCATTGCATAGCGATCCCGCAACATCGTCTCATATCGTATACAGCTTATAGAATGAAGCCATCGATTCATTGGGACAGCGGATGGTTCGTGCTGCTTCTCAGTGGAACGGTTTGTTGGCGCGTTGGTTGGTTGTGTCGACGGTGAGTGGCGTGCGATATTGGCGGTTGTTCGGCTTGGTCAAGGTGGAACGGGAACTATCGGACGTGTACACAACACGACAACACTGTTGAGTTGCATGAAACAATAGTTGGATCGTGTACAAAGTGGAGAAAGTGCTTACTGCGAACGAATACGCGATATTTCGTTTCAGTTATTCTTTTTGTTGGTTGCAGTTAACGCTATCATTTTTATTATTATAACATGATGTATTATTGATTTCGTTACATAGAGCTTATCCGTTTCGGTCGAGTATTACACGTGAAGTGTCATTGTTAAAAGGTTATGAGCAAGACATATGATTTGATGACGTCGCTATATGCAGCTGACTTAACAAGTCAGAGAGCACTGAAAATCACTATAAGAAATTGGCAGTATTAAAAAGTGATATTTAAATTGAAGCCAATAGATAGGCTGCTGATATCGTACAGTAGCAAATATAACATATACGATTATGGTTCCATTTTTATTATATCGTAGCTATATAATTGTTAAGAGATTGAAGATCTTAGATTTGGCTTGGAACTATGAAAGGGATTATGTCGTTGTTATTAGGTATATAATGCATTTTAAAGGAGGTCTTGGAGCATTGCTTTTAAATTATCTTTTAAATCAAACATCGCGTTTAATTGCATATCAGAACTGAATTATTGCTGCGGTCAGTTTCGCTTTATTGAACGAAACTAGGTTGTTAGTATATGAAGCTGAAAGTGTTGGTTGCGGCTTGTGTGATTGCCATTTCAGCAAATTCATTGTTTGATGGGATAAAATTGGGATTGCTATATTTAATATTGTTGCATTCACTTCTTCAGTTTCAAAATCTAAACTTAGTACGAAAATTGTGTATCAGCACGCATAAAAAACATAAAATTTGTGTCCAGAAATGTTTATAAGACTTGCCAACGTAGCTGTTGGATTTGTTTCTGTGAACTGAATCGTCCAGGGCAGCTCAGACTGATCCTTCAATGAAAGGTGCTGTTGTGGGTCACTTAACAGTTCTTTGCCTTCAAACAACATTTTTTCTATGTTGCGGTCGTTTTTGGTTAACTTACAATGGCACTGCTTCCAATTGTGTTGCAGAAATATACTGTAAAATAAGCGAACAGCTTTGTTGGATTTCTTTTTTTTATATGACTGATATAAAATCACATTTTTATACAACTTGACATCATCAAAAGGATTTGTTTTGCTGAAATTAGTGTGTATTCCAACGGTTGGGTGCTTTTTCATGACATAATTTTTAATGGAAGTTTATTGCCTTCAATTTATCCTCTCCGTTACAGGATAGCTGTTAGGTGCCATTCTGAAAACGTGAAATGAAAATAGGTTTGGTAAGTTGAAGTTTGATCTGTGAGTAATCGAAAAGATGTTGTAAAAATGGTACTACTGATACATGAATCATCTTATTCCTTTTTTAAGTGATGTACGAGTAAAGTGTGTTCTCGCTCTGTTATATTATTGAATGATTCCGTTCGTGGTATGTAATGTTCAATTCAGTTTATTCTGTTCCGAGTCACTAGCAAAATCAGATCTCAACAAAATAGTTTGATTGTGTGAGAAACTTAGCGTATGGGATGTCGCAGACACAAGAAAAGATGGCGCATTCCATTGCCTGTTGCTATTACGCTTCAAAACTGTGTGTTGAACAGATGAATGCCTGAGGGTAGTAGATGAACGGATGGGAGTGGCAATACATTTGGAAACATACTCGGGGGAGGGAGGAGACTCTGTGTAAAGTGAGGGGATGTACTGCCTGTCACGTATTTTAACAACATCTCTCTGAAGGTTTCGAGGTTTCCTATGAGACAATTCCCGATTTCTGAATGAAATTTCTTGTCGCCTCATTGATAATATGTAAAGTATTGTACCACATGATAAAATTGCATTGTTGGTCTATAGTTAAAGCCAGCAAACATTGTTCTGTTAACAGAAGGCATGGTGGAAGGTTTGCAAAATCAAATTTATGGGTTCTATCAGTTATCACTCGCCACTGATACTTTTATGTTCGAATGCAATATCTTAGTTTTTTTGTTTTTTTGACAGTATGCTAGCCTTTCAATCCATGAAGGGATTTAGGTGGGTTCAGAGTGATTCATGGTTGTGATATATTTAGGTTGCAGCAAATAAATTGAAATTTGAATAATTGTTTTGAATGATATAAAACTTTGCAACAGCTTGCTGTGAATGAGCGTCTCCATCCGACCATGTTCATGTTTTCTCGTCAATGAAGAACGATGTTTAAGTATTTCAGATCGTGATCACAAAGGGCGCATTTATTGTTTATAATCATGGCGAAAAGTGCTGAAGAAGCTGCGCTAGAATACAGGTTTGTTTGTCCTTATTAAAGTTTATTTAAAGCTGCATTTTAACATTTTGATAATATTATTTAAGATAAATTGCTTTTCGTATTTCATTGCATTTTTCATGCAGTTATTTAGAAATATTTTGAACTCTTCGCTATGAAGTGATGGATAAATCAAGACAGTCATATTTTTATTGGACTGGTTTGCAAATCAAATTTTTTTGTCTGGACGAACCTTTTTATTTCACTCTTTGTAGGCAGGCATTGCATGATTTGAAAGATAACAATAAAATGCAAATTAATTTGATGACTATTCTTGCTGATGATTACAATTCGTTTTCGAAAGAAATTGTTGCTGTTATTGCTCAGCAGATTATGAAAGTAAGTATTTCAGTATAGCTTCAAAATTGCAGATATGATGTAATTATATTTGCATCAGTCAGAGCAGTACTTAAACAGCGGTTTTATTTATAAACTATTGCCATAATTCTTTTCCGGGATTATTGATATTTTACTATTCAATTAAGTAAAATATAAAATAAGCTTATAAAGGCATAAGGATGGGATGAGCGACATAATTCGTTGAAGTTAAGTTTTTTATTCTGCCTAAAGTCAAAACAAATAAAATACAATCCTCTGACTGCGATAAATCATGAGAACCACAAACCATTTAATTTCAGGTTGTGCCACCTCAGAAATTGGCTGTAATGTATGTTATGGATTCGATATTAAAAAATGTAACTGGAGCTGGTAACTACAAAGAGCATATTGAAAAGATTGTTTATAAAGTCTTTCTGCATGTTTTTGAAACGGTTAGTTGTCTTTCACTGTTCATATGCAAATGTGCTTTTAAAATGAACCGCTTTTTGTAAGAAAAAATAAAAAGTAATAGAGTAAAAGCATTGTGTTTGCAGGGTGATGAAAGGACACGTTTGGCACTGCATAAACTCAGACAAACTTGGACAGGAATATTTCAACGTTCAACGCTATATAAAATAGATTTGGCCGTAAACGCAATTGATCCAGCTTGGCCTATCGTTACTCCTCAACCAGCTAACACTCCATTACCTGGACATAAGCCACAACCTGTTGTAATGACGTCACACCAACCTCGAGCAGCAGGGAAAGTTCATGTCAATCCACACTTTTTGCAGAAAAATTCTGTTACAGCTACGTCTGCTACTGCTACTGCCACTGCTACTACTGCTACTACTACCAGTGCTACTGTTGACAACAAATTGGTACTTGATTTAATAATAATACAATGTTTATTATTGCCACGGAATATTTTTTATGTGTTGTCCATATTACAATTATATCATTTCCAAACTTCTGTGGAAATCAGTTTCATTACTTAAAAATAAATATTGTAACGGGTGTTTCATACATCTCAGTTAATGCTTTTTTCCCACTATCCCCAGAGAGCTTTCCAGAGAAATTGCTATATGTTGTTTACAAGTAGCGTCATTCGTCATCTTTTTGCGGAGAGGTTGTTTCTTCTGGTTTGAAGATTTTGGATCATCTTCTTTTAATTGTTGGTTTCAAGCTGCTAGTTTTGTCACGCAAAATCACTGATTTAATTTGATAGCGGACTTGATGGTGTTTTGTCGCGCTCGTTCTTCATCTTTGCACTTATATCGATCCGGCTTTTCCGGATAACTATCTTTTCTAGGAGAAGCTCTCCAGGAAAATTAGTTCCGGAAGTTCATTGTAAGGAAATATTATGGGTAGGTATGTCATCGTTGGAAATAAATTACGTGTATATGTGATTCACACATCAAACGGTATCCGGCAGCAAAATATCGAGGAGTACGGCAGGAAAGCAAAGGTAGCTTTTTTTATATTGTTGTGTTCCTAATGATTTTATTTCAGCAAATGAATTGTGACAAGAAAAAGATAGGTTTGGATCCAAGATTGATGAAACATCCTGATGGAATAGTAGCTGGCAGACCAGCACCGTTACTTGCGACTCGACCGGAAAATGTCATCGTCAAGCAAGAACCAATGTAAATTTTCTTTCCTGATTTCTGAAATCCATGTAGATTACTAATTGTCGAGATAGGGTTCTCGAGTTAAAAACTGGCATCTTAGCAGGTAATTGTAAGTACACGTCTCAAAATGGCCGATTCTAATGATTTAGGATTAGATGAGGAAAAATTATACATTGAGAAATATTGATTGATATGTGGAAATACAGTTACAATTTTTATTTTTGGAAACATAAAGATTATTAAATCTTACAATTTCAACATAATTGAGTTCACCGTCTATTAATTTATGAGGACTTCGATTTTTTTCATTTCCTCCCTGACCGTTAATAACAGCATCTTGCAATACTGTTTTTGTGGTGTTGCAGCGATAGCAGTGATGTTGACGAAAGATTAAATATACAACAGACTGGCAATCTGTTGGATAGTGCAAGCCTTCGGAGTTTCGGACATAGGTAATTCTCACTTTATTTCATAAAAAAATAAAATTAATTGGCTACCAGAAGTTGTCATTTTCCTCCTATTCTGCAAACACTGCACTATGTTCACCTGCGTTATCCATTGTCTTTATATTGATCTTTTTACAACTTGTGAAAGGAATGAATAAAAAAGTGAAACAAACAAAAAAAGGAGGAGAATAAGGGTAAAAAATAAGTCAAAACTGGCCTGAAAAGTTGAGAATCGACTGTTAGCAAATTGTGCGTGTCAGTTCTGCAATCGTAATATATGTGGGATTAGTCTGAATTTCAGTAATGAAATAGAAGTCATCCGATCCAACATAGTGAATTCGTCAATATAAGAGTCGTAGCTACAGCTATTTTTCATTACTCAAGTAGTATCTAAATCTTTTTATTGGCATTTATATTTCAGATAACATTGTTATTTCGATCTTTTGTGTTCTTACGTTCTGTTCTCATTCCTTTTGTATATGGAAGTTTTTAGTTTAATCTTGTCATTTTTTATAGTGACATTTCGCTGTTTTTTATGTTTGAAGTGATGAGTCAACTGATGGAGATTCTATTGCTATTCTTAATATTGGATTTGAATTATATAAAGTTTGGCTTATTCGTTCCACTTTTCTCAAAAGCAATTGTATTGACGTCATTTGCAGAAAAGAACAAGAATTCGGCGGGCGTTCACCAAACGACATAAAACGTAAGTCGCCGCCATGTGTCTCAGATCTGGAAACTGTGGAGAAGAAACCCCGAATACGCACACCACCTCAAGACAAAGATCGTCGTACGAATTCACCTTCGACATCTTCCATAATACGTCCAACAAATGATCTCGGTTCTCATGCTTTCATTACAACCGCACGACGCGCGCAAGTGGCTTCTAATACAAATATGATAACAGCGCCCCCTACTCCGGTTATAGTTCCAGTTTCTGGGCCAGTGATTTTACCCGCAATTCCATCTACCTCAGGCCCACTACCATTTCTACCACCTATAATGCCAACGGTACCTCTACCAATGCCAGTGCACAATATGGTTCTAGCAGGTCCCCCTGTAGTACCAGGCTCTACAAATACACAAGATTTAACACGAACCGATCCAAATCATGTACCACCAATCATCAATAACGAAACTCCAAAGCTGGAAGGTATTCCAGCAAATAACAGAATATTTGTGGATGGTCGGGCTTACGAAGTTTCATACATTAATGATGTCCCAGTCATCGAAAGGAATGGTCTGCCGCATAGGTTTATATTTTTACCGGTTTTTCAAGTTGAAATATCTTAATTCGGAACGTACTTGAGTCTTTTAATGGTTTTATTTAGGATCTATTTTACGGGTGTGCCACGAAATGTAATCATTGATGGTGTCGCTTATCAATTAGCATTTGGTGAAGAAAGAAGGGTGATTATTGATGGCGAGGAGCACATTTTAAGGTAAATTTTTCAGGTAGTTTTGTTAAAAATAATTAGATTAAAACTATATTTTGTGGAGTAAGAGCAGTTTTAATCTTTATTCCTTTTTTACATCAGTGTTATTGAACGAATGTCTTTTCAACTGGCAGTATAAGATGTTATGTATATCATTCTAGTAGTTTACCTAGTGATTGGAGTGAGAATTGGTTTTTCTGATTTTCACGTTTGCTATAGATTTGGAGCACCATCACGTGAACTTTATATGGGAACATATCCATTCAAAGGTGCATTTGGTGGCCCACCAATTTTTGCTACGATTAACGGAGTACGCCATGAAATACGGTACGTAATTTAATTATTTCTTAATGTTATATTTTTGAGTAAAAGTTTCTGTTCGTTGTGTACAGATTGAATAAAAGCGTCTATTGTTGCAGATTGGGTGGACCTCCACCAGAAGTTAAAATTGAACCTGATCCATGTTATGAGCTATTGCGATATATGCCTCGTACAGGAGCTGATACGTCGAATAAAACTACAGGTTTCGCTGTTCTTCTTTTCTTTTCATCTTTTTGCTTTGAAAAAGAAAATGAGATATCTGTTCCATACTTTGTTCTCTAATTTTTAGGATGAATATAAAAACTCTTTTAGCTGCTTTAATAATTCTCAGTTTTGTATTGTTTAGCTGCGAGTGGTACTGAACCGCAAACAACGGTTGATGTTAAGGGTTTGCTTGCCAAACTGCAACGTACGGGGATACTTTCTGCTTTGAATGCAAATAACAGAAGGGATGAAACAGGAGGAGATTCGCCGAATCGACCTGTTACACCACCTATTCCTTCTGAACATCGTGGTGAAGTAACCGAAAGGTTGCCAAAGCCACCAACCGATCTTAAATCTTTCTCAATGCGCGCTCTCAGAATGTTAGTTTGCCAACTTGCTTGCAATGTTCTTTAAATTTTAATGATTAAAGTCAATTTTTGTATTAGATGTAAAAAAACTAAATGAATTGTCGTTGAGTACTTTGTTTCAGACGATATACATCTGTTGTGGAAAGCCTTCATCAAAAAAGACGTCTTTGTCCTACTTGCGGTTTGCGTTTTAGTGAATTGAAGGGTGAAAGATACCAACAGCATCTTGACTGGCATTTTCGTGAAAATCTAAAATCAAATGAAAGTTCACGTTGCCGTGATTGGTACTTGCCAGCTGATGTAAGTTTTTTATACTTTCCCTTGGGTTTCATCTTAGTTATCGGTTTTTATCCCTACTTTTCTGTTAGTTCGAATTTAATAAGAGATATAGCATTTGGTGTATTAAACTTCATATGTTTTTGGAGATTTTTGCCCACGGTAACAAGTAGGGAATTCAGGGAAATAAAAGTAATACTGTTTTTGTGCTGTTTGTTCTAGGAATGGTATGAGTTTAGTGAACAAGAAGAATTAACAGCGTCAACATCAGCAACTCGTCTTACTGGTAAATAAATTTTTTTTCGTAAATACTAAAGTGTTTTTTAAATTTCTATTTTTTTTGAAACAATAAAGTATTTTATATCATAATTATTAACTACCTGAATTAGAAAATTTTAATCGAAAAGCTTTCCAAAAATTTTTTTTACAGGTGGCGGGTCTAATGATGTTACGAAGGATACAAATAGGGGGACGTATAGCGTGCCATCCGACTCAGTTCCATCTAAGGTAATTATTTTTATTGATTTTAAGGTTTGCTCAACAGTTTCATTTGTTTAGATTTTTAAATGATATTTTAATACTGTGAAATGGAACTCAATCTTTTGAACTTTAAAGGAATGTGGTGTGTGTAAAGAGAAATTCGAGGAATACTGGGATGAAGATGATGATGTTTGGAAGCTTCGAGACTGCATGCTTAGCCAGGATGGAAGAGTAAATTTTACCTATTGTCTTAGAAGATAATTTTTTGACTTTTCTAAAAGTCGACTCATAAAAGAAGGCAATCAGTTATTTATTTCATCTTTCTTGCAGATATTCCATCCAGGTTGTATATTGGATGCATCAGCCATCAAAATACCAGATGAGGATAGCCCAAGTGAAGAAGAACAGAGTGATAAGTTGTCATTTCTGAAATCTTTGAAATTAAAGAAAGATTTTTCTTCTGTGAATAGTTGATCAACACACACACACACATATATATAATATGTACAGAACATAACATAGTTGCACACCTGTTTGCGGACATACAATAGAGTAATTTAATATGTTTGAAGCTTTCTTCCAGGTTTGAAGATTTGACGCGTTTACCATTTATTTCATTTATTTTGATGTTCGTCGAAGAAAAATAAAATTTCTTATTTTGTGTCGTTGTTGCATCACATGATTTTCTTATTAGTAATAACTGTTTTTCTTCTGAAAGTGTTCTGGTAATTCTTTAATTTTTCCCTTTTGCTCTATTAAATATTGTTTGCGGTTTTTTTTTTCTAAAATAAATTTTAATGAAAAGAAGGTAGTATGTGTTGCACAATGTCGATTGATTCTGATTCAGTAAAATTATTTCGAATTTATATTTTGCAAAATACTCGTAATGTCGATGAATCCGAATCAGAGTATTCAACACGTGAAACTCTGCAAAAAATCATACCACGACTGTACAAAATTGTCATCATGATATTATCTATGATTGAAGTTTCAAAACTGTCATGATGATATTATCTATGATTGAAGTTTCAGTACCGTGATAGGTATTTGATGAATGGATCTTGTGCGACATTCATTTAGAAGAGAAAATTTTCTGTCTTCTATATAATTATTGAAGACATTAATAGTAATTTAATTTCTATTATAATCAGCTGAATGAGGTTTTTGCATCTGATTTGATCAGGAAAAATAAAAATCATTTCATCCGAATCAGTATCATGTGGTGATTAACACAAACAACCGAATTCACGAATTTAAGCAAGTTAGAGTTCTGATGGGAAATTAGAAATAAAAGGAGGATTAATTTATATCGGTACTTTCGTTGGAACTTAAGTGAAAGTATTGGAATTGTTTTTTCTGTATTCATTTTCTATCATTATGGTTGAGTTATTTCTCTATAATTCCATTAAATCATAAATTTAAAGTTTGGAATTTTCAGAGTACTGTAATGAGTTGTCTGTCTATTGTGATTGACTGTGATGCTCGTCATTGGGGTGAATTAGCTGAGAAGGAGAATAATGAGAAAGTAATTTCTACACTGATCCATTCTATTATGTCATATACTACAGCACATATGTCAATTTCTGCAGCGAATCGTATAGTCATCATTGGTGTTGATGAAGCACTTTTGGAACCAACTATCTATGTTACAAATGCAGCAACAGATGTTAGTTTCGAAAGTTAGTAGATTGTTAATGGAATTGAATAGTGGAATAGTATGATTTAGTTGAATTCGTTGCTGAATATTTTAAAATTCGTATCAATAAGCCATCTCTAACTCTCCGAAGTATAATTATGCTTCGGAGAGTTATATGAAGGTAGCATTCGATTATCGAAATAGTAATCGAGCAATTAAAGAAGTATAAATTGTTCATGAATAGTCTTGATAATGAATAGAAATATAGGAGTATGATATGAGAATAAGGATGAAGCTTGATAATAATAGTTGTTATTTGAAACAGAATGAATACTTTAATTTAATTTAAAATGTTAAATATTTTATTTAGATAGATATGAGTTTATCAGTAAAAACGGCATTACGAAATGCGCTTAAAAAATCGGCGTCCACAACAAATGCAACAGAATCAGCCATTTTCGCACCTGCCTTTGCTACTGCTATTTGTCGTATGTTTCATTTGTTTCCTGGGAGTTGTTGAGATTTTCAATCTCGAAAATTTAGCTCTTGTTTCATGAATTCCGAATGATTTATTTTATTGATATCGCTTTTTATTCATAATTTCTAGTGGAGCTGTTTCAGTATATATTTATTCATAAACACACGACCATACAACCTAATTTAACATATCTGAATGTTATCAAATACTAAGTTTGAGTTTCGATTCAGTGTACGAGTGTTTTTATGGCATCAGTATAGTTAATGAAAGTCTCGTATTTTTAGTAAAAAATAGCATGTGTTATTTGCTCGTGAGAAAATAAGTGCAAATTTTTATTCCAGTGACCATGCTGTTTTAATTAATATTTCTTCAGATATTTCTCGGTACAAGAATGAAGTTGACAACGGAGATGGGCGCATCCTTGTTATCAACATTGGTAGTGACCTGCTTGGAGAGCATAATATTTTAATGAATATCTTCTTCGCTGCTCATAAGCATAATATTCTCATTGATGTGGCCAATATTGGTTAGTTTTTTGTTAAGATCGGACATGAATAAATATAGATAATGCAGTTGAACACCGTACAGCACTATTTTATGTTTCGGAGCTCCACAATTTGTGTGTTGAGGCACTGTTGGATAGTACTAGCGGTGTGGGAATATTGGAGAAAAATGATATATAGACTTTTGAAGTATTTATTTACGACAGCAACAAACTCGGGTTCTTTTGTATTCTACTTGTTGGATTATTGTCATTATTTAAAAAATCTTTTTTACACAATTCCCTTTTTCTCTTAAATTGATTTTTTAAATTGAATATTGTGCATTTGCCTTTGATTAGAAGTAAATTTTCCATTTGTGTGCAAAAGCAGTAAACCAATACGTTTCTGATTTTAATTTATCATAAATAGAGAACAAATTTTTCCCAAAATCTTGAAATGTTTCCCATAATTGTAGATTGATGTAGCAAAAAAGCAATCACGCTATTATTTTAGGTGAAACATCGCCAATTTTGCAGCAGGCAAGTGATATTACTGGTGGTACTTATTTCAATCTTAAAAAACCGAAACAGTTCCTGGAATATGCAATGGTTAGCATCTAAGTTGGTCCATTTTATTTTTTATTTTTTTATTTTTTGATAGAAAACTCCCTTCTGCAGAAGTTAGATAAATATTTACAAATATTTATTGATTAGAACAATGACGGAGTTCGAATATATTAATCTGGGACTGGAAAAAAACCAATTTAGATAATAATGCTTCACAGTTTCATTCATAAGTATTAAGTATTGTCAAAAAGCTTATTTTGTAGTGCTTTACACTTGGAAGAGGATCGATACGTTCGGCATTTCCATCACCTTCATCATCGACTTCGGTGGATTATCGTGCTAGTTGCCATTGTCATAACGCTCCAGTAAGTATTGGATGGGTATGCTCCGTGTGTCTTTCGGTTCAGTGTCACTTTAGTCCAATATGCCCCGCGTGCAAGTTAGTTCTATTTCTTTTTTAATTTGAAATGAAATTAGCAATGTGAAGTGATCAATGCATATGTGAATTCACATATTTTACAAACATCGATAATTGAAATCACCAATTTATATGAGTGAGAAATAATTAAATATCATAACATTTCAACATGTTTTGATTAAATACAGTGCTAACAAATTTGTATGTGGCTATCCAAATCATAGAAACAATATATTTTAATTTCTAGGATTTCTGAAGGAAACAGAACCTTGGAAATCTTCCAGTAATCCATCAATATTTACATAAACTTGATATCCTAAAATTTACAGCACCGTGTTCAAAATTTCAACTTTGGCAAGGCGAGGACGGAAGAAACGTCGGGAGGGAAACTGAAAGCAAACATAAAGCTACAATCTCTTATTATCATAAATCGAACTATGGTCCAAAACGAGGTGTTTTTGAAATGAAAAATAAAGCAATAATGCATTAATAATGTAAATGCATACACAGACTATACAAACGGTACGCAAGTAAACGAGAACAAAAAAAAGGTATATTGATAGGAAGTTCATAAATATCGATAAAATCTGTGATAACTTTCTTGCCCAAGAACTGTTGTGGATGAATTGTAATAAGAACATGAAGGTATAAGAAAGACAACCGTACACAGGATTTTTCTGAAATAATTTTAGTTCATTATGCGTGCAAATGTTTTTCAGATAAAGTGTATCATCGTTGGAATTCTAATTCTTGTGATTTAGATTTCTTCATCAGATAAATTTGAAAATAAACTTTTAACGTGTCCATATCATTATGCCATTGCTTATTTTTACGCAAAGCTTTATCAATATTCGAAATTTATGCAGTCATACTAACTCTTTCCATTGGATCAAAGTGAAGGTCAATGACATAAATTTAAATTTTATGCTATATTTTCCAATTTTATGCTTTAACATTGACATTTTGTACTCTCCCAGACGGTCATATATATAGCATACCTGCGTTAATATATGATCAGTTCCAAGAATGGATGGTGCAACTCCGAGACCTTCAGCAAATTGTGAACGAAAAGCTTTCGAGCAACTAACATAAGAAGCTATATCACATACTGGCTGATAATTGATATCACTTTCCAAATTATATTCCACGTAGAGTGCATAAAATGATACAGTTAAACCTATAAATGATACAGCGGCACAGATATAGTTTGGAGCCATCGAGTATGACCTGCTTGCAGTATTATCGGTTGGACTCTGCAAATCCAAACTGATAATTGATTAACCTTTGAAATGATAAGGAAATTATATGTTCGTACGGTTCGCATTTAAAAGGTTAATCAGTTATCAATTTAGATCCTAAAATCCATCGATCATTTAAAATCGAATTTGTCGGATATTTGAAATTTTTTATGGCATTAAATATAATTAATCTATTTATTATGCATTCTACGAATTTACACGACTGGAATTGATACACATAATAAAACAAAATATACGGGATTATTGAGGCAGACAAAAATTTTGTTGCATTTAAATTGATTAATTGAACAGCACGATATCGCACTACCCGAAATCTAACCTTCTTCATTACGAGCATCTTTTCAATTCTGTTTTGTCGATCACCGAGTAATGGAATAGATCATTATTGTTTCACAAAAAGCGAATTTATTTGTCAGTGAGCTTATCATTGATTGCGTTGATTGTCGTTGATTGCTTCGTGTTACCTCGGGATCAATTTGCATGGTTTGGTCAGTTGTATTTCAACGTCTTACTGCTTCCACTGGTGCTATTGTCATCCTTGGTAGCATTGCTTTGGGTGAGTCTTCGTTAATAGGCAAAACTATCGAAGTTTATCTCGAGATCGTAACATTATTGTCTAAGTTTACTTTAGTATCATAACATTGTTAAGTTTATTATAACAACTCTCATTTGATGAAAGTTAAATTCATATTAAATAATTGAGAGTGGAATCTCTGTGGAATTAAATGTTTCTGAATTTACATGTGTGTGTGTGTGTGTGTGTGTGTGTGTGTGTGT